TATTAATTTAATATATTTTTTTACTAAATAATTAATTAATATTAAACTTTTTTTTTTTAAAATAGAGAAAATATTGAAAATTTTAATTTTAATTTTCTAAAAATTTGAGTTCACTCAACCCAATCTAAAACTCATATGGGCAAATCATGGATTTACTCTCTACATGTTAAAATCTAAAATTATCCAACTCGATAAATCTAGAATCCCACCCAATCTAACTTGTTTATTAGGTCTAATCATTTTTAGTAATGGTTGGTCTTACATTTATATATCAAGTATAATCAGACTCTTCTTTTGATTTGGGATTGAGATGTTATAATATTGTACCATCTCACGCCAAAGCACCTAACCATGACTAGTGATATTGTTTGCTTTCAATGGGCCTCACAGTTTTAAAAGGTTTCACCATGGTGGTGGTGGGTTTGCACTTATAAACCTAAGATCCCTCATGTACCTGGCTGATGTGGGATTTGCCCAAGACCATTAGGTGTTGACATCTCCTAAAGAGTGTTGTTACCTCCATCTAATTGATTATTACACTTGTTTTCTAAGCCATTCCTAGATGACTTCTTCATTTTTGTTTCACAATACAGAAAGACTTGCTCCTTGACAAATAGGAGCAACTAATATAACATGTGGAGGGTTAAAGACAAGAAGTTTGCTTATTGAGGGACTTAATTTTATATCACTAAAAAACCCTAGCCTCCCCTCCCTTTCTCTCACTCCTTTATCCTCTCCCTCCTCTCTTGGTTATTCTTTTAGTCTGTCACCATCTCTCTAGTTAAGGGTTTTCTTTCCCAAGGAGGTTTTGTCACCCTTTTTTGGGAGGTTTTGTCTAGGGTTTTTAGTAATATCAAATTAAGTCCCTTAATAAGCAACCTTCTTGTCTTTAACTCTTCACATGTTATATTAGCTACTCCTATTTGTCAAGGAGCAAGTCTTTCTATATAGTGAAACAAAAATGAAGAAGTCATCTAGGAATGGATTAGAAAACAAGTCTAATAACCATCAAATGGAGGGACCAACACCCTTTAGGACATGTCAACACCTAAAACTCTTAGGCAAATCCCACATCACCAAACATGTGAGGGATCTTGGGTTTATAAGGGCAAACCCACCACCACCATAGTGAGGTCTTTTAAAACTATAAGGCCCGCCCATCGAAAGTAGACAATATCACTAGTTGTGTTTAGGTGTTTTATTAGACTAAGATTATAGGTGCTAACAACTTGAGTTTAAGTTTTTAAAGTTTACGATTAGTCTCGACAAACATATCAGATTGGGTCCCCTTGAATTTTAGATTTATGGGGTTGTGTCATTTTAGATTTCGAGTTAAAGGAAGTGAACGCAAGACTTACCTGCAAGGGTTTCAAATTGGGTCGATTAGACCCAACTTTTTAAAAAATTAAATTAAAATTAAAATTTTCAATATTTTCACTATTTTTCTTTTTAAAAAGTTTAATATTAACTAATTATTTAGTCCAAAAAATTTGTTAAATTAATAATAACTATAATAATCTAATACATAATAACTATTTTATAGTATTTAATTTTATTTTATTCATAAAAATTAAAAATTAAAATATAATTAATTAAAATTTTAATTAAAAAACTTAATTAATTTTAGTTGAGTCATTTTTGGGTTAACCAAACTTGATCCTAACTCAACCAGTCAAGTTTGTGTAATTACAATTTGGGGAGTCATTTTTGGGTTAACCAAACTTGATCCTAACTCAACCAGTCAAGTTTGTGTAATTACAATTTGGGTCAAATTTATATTGGATTCTGAGTCAGCATTTTAAACTCATGACCTTTATCCATAATGGGTAAGTTGGATCAAATTTTTGGATTGAGTGTAATTTTATCAAGTTTAACTAAGACTATAAGTGGTGTATAAGTAGAGACTAATTATTATTAACAATTTAAATATAAATTTTTTAAAACTCATTAATATTGGTTTGAAACATTGTTAAACCAATAATGTGATTTGGGTCATTTGAACAAGCAAATCAACCATTAAAAAGAGTTATAGAAACAAGAAAATTATAAGTTCACGTGCACTAATCTTTGCTTACATCTCACATATTATTGATATTTAAATATTATTAAACAAAAACTAAGATATCGGATACAGAAGACAAAGCAGTAACAGAACTGTTTGCACTTAATTTCAGGTTATGAGGTGGAGAAAAGAGATGAGTTGATAATCTTTGCATGAATAATCTCTTTTGGATACTTTGATTCTTCAGACCTCTTATGTTTTAAGAAAACAGAATGACATGTGATAATCTTTATCTTAAGAATATTTGTTCTACCTGACCTACAAAAGAAGCATCCCTTTGGAGAATCGGTTTTCGCATTTACAAAGGATTTAATGTCACTATCACTTACCAATTCAAGCAATTATTGTTTTTTTCTCACAATTCTAGAACCTCTGTTAATTTCAAGCATTTATTCCCACCTAAAACCGTGTTCTCTGGTCTAATTGGACATGGTAAATTGGGAAGTGAAAGAAAAAATGTAGAGCTGCCGATACAATTGGAATTAAGGTTTTAGCTTGTAACAGAAGAGTTGCATTGAGGCATGACGTATGATTTGAATTTGAGCACATCTTAGTGGTTTCTACAAGCAGTATATGGAGTCCTTGTCATATCTCAAGGACGGATCCACTTGTTAATAAATGCCATTTTATATGTCAACTTTTTTAAGTTTTGAAATTAATGATTAAAAAAATTAATTTAGATAGATACATTAAGATGTGAGAGTTACGTTTTTAAAATTAGATGAGAAAAAATTATTTTGAAAAGACATAAAATTTAATATGTAAATATCCTAATAATAAATAAATAAATAAATGTTGAAGACTCTAATATCTATAACATGGAGTTTTGTTACAATAGTGATTTTGATTAGACCTTCCACTTTGATTACGAGGGGTTTAGGTGTGTATAATGATTGTACGGAAAGATAATTAATAATACCGCATTAGATCATCTGACGTGAACTATCTAGAATCCAAAACCAAGGAACATCACAAAAAAACCCATCAGATTGCAATTAAGGACCAACCACTAGTATAATCACACATATCCTTTTCAACTGCTACAACAAATAAGCTTGAAAAATGCTTAGAGCCTTCTAATGCCCATTCACTTATGTTCTATTCCCAGTCTGAGTAGTGAAAACTAGATAGAATGACAAATTTGGGCATGATTTGGTCAAAAAGGCCTAAATCTTCACTAAATTGCTACCAAATTAATTTACCTTTGTAGTTGAGACATTTTATTTTAGATAATTCACAATAGCTTGTCAAACACATAAAAATGTGCTTAGACTTTGATTAAGTATAATCAAAGTAATGAACCAATCAAAGGGTAAGTATGGGAAGAAACAAAAAGATTTGCTACCGAAGACTTGGTACAGCTTACACCTACTGTTTGAAAAAAGAGACAAAAGGAGAGACTACTTCAACACTTACGCCTATAAATAGACATGATTCCATGAAGGGGTTTCTCATCCCTCACAAAGAAGCTTGGAAGAATTTAAGGTAGCAGCAACCTTGTAAAAATGAAGAGTGCTTATTTCCTCATAGCTTTTGCCCTATTGGCTTTTGCTTCCTCCTTTGTTTCTGCCTATGACCCCAGCCCTCTCCAAGACTTCTGTGTAGCCATCAATGACACCAAGAACGGAGGTATGTGCTCCCGCTCCTGCAAGTTGCATTTTATAACAACTTCCTTTTGAAAGTGTACTATATTTTTTCTTGGCTGCTTTTGAATTAATTATAACACCTTTGCTGCAGTGTTTGTTAATGGGAAGTTTTGTAAGGACCGAGAGCTCGTCGTAGCAAACGATTTCTTCTTTTCAGGGCTTGACGAGCCAGGAAACACATCCACTGCTGTTGGATCAGTTGTTACTCCGGTATCTGTTGAACAACTTTTGGGACTTAACACTCTTGGCGTATCCCTAGCTCGTATTGACTTTGCACCTTATGGTGGCCTTAACCCGCCCCACACTCATCCTCGCGGAACTGAGATTCTAGTAGTCCAGGAAGGCACACTATACGTTGGCTTTGTCTCCTCCAACCAGGATGGGAACCGTCTATTTACGAAGGTCCTGTACAAGGGAGATGTTTTTGTTTTCCCTATTGGTATGATTCACTTCCAGCTCAATATAGGGAAAACTGCTGCTGTTGCTCTTTCTGCTTTTAGTACCCAGAATCCGGGCACAATTACAATCGCCGATGCCCTTTTTGGATCCAATCCAGATATTAATCCTGATGTTCTCACCAAGGCCTTCATGTTAGAGCCGAATGTTGTCAAGTACCTCCAGTCACGTTTTTGAAGGAAAAACATTTATCATTGGAATACTTGAACTAGCTATGTTTTATGTTTTAATAGTTGATTGTGTGGATTGTCTTTGAGTGCTATACCTCTATTAATTCCATCATTGTATTCAAATAATACTCATTACCATGTAATAAAGAGGTTGCTTAATTCTTATCTAGCCTTTGTATTTAGATAAACTAGTATACAAGATAGGCTATATTTATTGATGCAAAGTGAAGCATTAATGCAGCAATGTCAAGACCATCTAATTGTCCTTGAACATAATTTTTTGGCTCTGAGAAATAGGATTTGGTGGCAACCTTCAAGGATAGAGTTAGGAGTCAGGACATCCTGCAGGAAACAAGTGTAGTTGTTTCACGGAATAATTCTGCATTAGGGCCAAAAGACAAAGTTTGTCTAAAGTAAAACAAGATCAGTTAAGACAGTCTTAACATTTTTATAGCATTTTTAATTCATTTTCTCACGGAAAATGAAATAAAACATTAAAATTGTTGGATAATGGATTAAAGCAGAGATTTATTATTTCAATACCCTCCCGTAAATGCTGCAATTCTTTGGGCCTCAGTATTTACGCTCCAGAGAGTGTAAATAATCATGGTGATGGCAGCTTTCTAAAATTTCCTAATGCCCATGAAGTGAAAAATATTTTAGAATGAAAAAAAGAAAAATAAAAGTAAGGCATGGCGGAAGTTGGTTTTGAATATATGGAAGAGGCGTGGCAATGTAGTCACCACGGGAGTGCCAGATGAAACAAAGAAAAGAAGTGGATGGATGAAGTACCTCCTGGATAGGCCACCTTCCTCTATATCTGAATACTTGATGGTTCCATCCCTCCCCTGGCTAGCTATGCGGATGACGTTAAGGAAAGTGCTACATAATACAGTCTTGTCATTAAACTGAAGATTTCATTCTGTAATTTTTGTTGGCCCTTTTTCCTTAATGTTTTGCATTTTATTTGTAGCATACAGCTTCAATCAGTGGGTAAGTTCTTTATAACATGTTCATCGATTCCTAGAACAATATGGATTATTAGTAACCTCTAAAATCTAGTAAGAGTGATTGTGCTACTGAAATATGATGATCACCTGTGGTTTTTTGTTTTTCTTTTGATTCGATGCCTTTGTGTTATTTTGCCAATTTCTGCTTAAAGTGGGTCTTTTCTGGTCTGGAAGTTTTAGTTGGATAGAGTATTGAATACCAGGTTCTTCTCAGCAGAAGGATTTGCACTATTTTGCCAGATACTCTGTATCTAGTAAGTATTAGCCATACTGTCCAAATCTGTAATAGTTTACTCTCTTTCTACTTTTCCCTGATTGCCTGCATATTCCTATTATCTCTTCTCTTTGCTCATTCTACATATCATCTCATATTTGTTTCATTGTTTGCTGAAAAAGAGATTTTTTGTTTGAAGGTATAATGATGGGGATCCACTGTCCGCTGATGATCATTCTTTTGTACTTGACAATGTCTTTGCTTATCATCCAGAGAAAGGCAGGAAAATGGGCGCTGGCATTGACGATTTCATGGTATACTTCATTACTCAAATTTTGCTTAGTTATTTTTTTTTTCTCCCACTTTTTTAAAGTCATTTTCTTACCCAAGTGGACCTCACAGGACAGAAACAAAGAATGTTGAATTCTACATGTTAGTGCATTTTATTTTTTTGGTGCATCATATTGTAGGTTATTTAACAAACGTATAATTGCATAATCCTCCTCTACCCCCAAAAATCCTCCGCATCCCATTCCCAGGATTTAAACTCAAACTGCATGCATGAATGTGATGTTACAATATAATGCTGAAATGGGTTTTTTGTTTTGGTGTCAATTTCTTTGCTTAGCTGTCAATTTCTGGTTTACGTGTCTTCAAGATAAATTGCAGGATTAGTTTATAATTTGACAGAGTCCAAGTTTGTTATTGAGTCTTTACTTAGTGGAGTATGGTTCCTTATTTTTAGAGATAAGATTAGTTTCCTTTTTTGCAGATCGTGAAGTCATTGAGTCCTTGTATTGTGCAATCTGTTGCTCTATATTTTCTATTTAAATGGGGACAGATCAGTTGAATAAATATCTTCAATTCAGTTCATCTTTTCTGTTGCACACCAAGTGTTTGATTAATTGCCTCATAGAAATTTCATTTACTTTAACCCCTGTTTTTTATCATGTGAAACAATATCTGTTACATGAGAAAACAAATGGTCATACATAATTGTTTATGTCTTAATGTGTTGTCTGTTTATTAATCCAATGATAAACCTGAACTCAATGTGACAGATAAGCAAGCATGTGAATTTTCCAGAAAGCAGGTGCTTGTATGTGGTCACAACCGATGGTTTCAAGGAAGATTTTTCCTACCGAAAGTGTCTGGACAACTTTGTCAAGGGAAAGTATCCTGATCTTGCTGAAGAATTCATTGCAAAATATTTCAGAAAACCACGCTCTGGAGGGAACCGGGACCAAAATTCTGTGCCCCCACAAACTCCTCAGGATGAAAATCAGCAGTAGTTCAGCCATCGTCTCCTAGAAGTTTCCATGCTCAAGTTATGTAAATTCCTGGCATATGCTATTTTTCATTTTTGTATATATAGGGCAGATGTTCTTTCATTTATCTCCGAACAAAATTAAGCTCAACACATTTCTGATAAGCCACTCTTTTTTCAATATACATGAGTGGTTCATCTCTACTTTGTATTAGTGGCTCAATTGCAGCTTTACTTAACACTGCACCGCAGATGGATATTGTCTTGATGACTTCTTAATACTTTGACCAGACAGTGAGGGCTGGAAGCGGAGCTTCTAACGCATGGTTGAGGTGGTTGGAATGAATATCATGTTTTCTTTAATGTTCACCTTAAGTACTTGTTTATGCAAAATTCAGCTGAGATTGATGAATGCAATTTGAATGTGTTTGGTTAGATGGAATATGTATTCCATGGTCTAAGTATTTTTACAAGATAAATTGTTTAAGAGACCATAAAAGATTAAGAATTTATATTCATTTTTTTAATAAAGTTTCTCCTAAATTATTGCATTTAATGAATAAGTATTAGTAATCTCTTCTATTCTCTTTAACTAATTCGCCATAATGTTTACCGTAGAGAGTGTTAAATAGAACTAGCTATTTGTTTAAAATTACCATGTTTTTGTCTGTTTTTTAAAAGAAAATTAATTAAAATGATGTAATATAAGATATTTTTTAATCAATTTTTTAGAAGTGTAGCTGTTAAATAATTTTCTTTTTATGTATTCTTTTAATTGTTTAATGTTATGATATGTT